TTGCTTCAACTAAGGCTAGCCACGTTCGATTCTACATGAAAACATTCTTGGAGGGCGTGCAGGGACTATTAACGGCAAACAAAGAGTGTTATCCTCCGTACCATGGATGGCTGTCGGATAGGAAGTTGGACCGCGTGGAAGGCACGTGCTTTCGAGAAGCTTTCAGCAACCACTCGTGCTTCCGGGGAAAACGTGCTGGCACGCCCTGGCGTCGGGACGCCAGGCGTGTGGTTCTTCCCGAATTTGAAAATTTGGGAGTCTCAAGGTAGGAAATTCGAAGAAGCTTGGAAATTTGGAAGCTTGGAAATTTGGAAGCTTGGAAATTTGGAAGCTTGGAAATTTGGAAGCTTGGAAATTTGGAAGCTTGGAAATTTGGAAGCTTGGAAATTTGGAAGCTTGGAAATTTGGAAGCTTGGAAATTTGGAAGCTTGGAAATTTGGAAGCTTGGAAATTTGGAAGCTTGGAAATTTGGAAGCTTGGAAATTTGGAAGCTTGGAAATTTGGAAGCTTAGAAATTTGGAGGCTTGGAAACTTGGAAGCTTGGAAGCATAGAAATTTGGAAGCTTGGAAGCTTGGAAGCATGGAAATTTGGAAGTTTGGAAATTTGAAAGCTTGAAAATTTGAAGGCTTGGAGGTTTGAAGGTTTCGAAGTTTGAAAATTTGAAAGTTTAAAGGTCTGAAAATTTGGAAATTCAAAAGTTAGAATATCTGAAAGTTCGAAGATTCAAAAACTTACTAAAATTGTAAAATACTACTTCAACGCCGACAAAAATTTCCCTCCTCCTCCTCAAACTTCCCAATCTACAAAACACTCTTTTTACCAAGGAAAATAATACTGTTCATATTACTCGATCCGCAAACTTCCTTAATCTCCCCACGATGCCTCGTTTAGCGGTATATTAGATAGAACGCTGATCGATTTATCGATAAAGTGTCAAAGAAAGTCGAGTCTATCGGACGGTGGAATACCAAAAGCACTGGTGTATCAACGTCCTGCCTCGAACTTTCAGC